TTGCAGAAGGAAATTGGTTCGCCATATAATAGTATGGATAATACTGTACACTAAGTGGATATGCTTGTTGTTGAGGGTTTTGACCCTGTTGTTGGTTTGTTGATTGTTGTTGTGTTCCAGTAGATTGTTGACTTGTTGTTTGATTAGATGAACTAGTAGTTGTGTCAGGAGTGTACTTATTATCTCCTCGTCCCTGATATCCAGCAGAAGTAACAGGGGATGCTTGGTTATACGCAGGGTCAGCAGTATAGTAACCCTAAAAAAGATGTATAAAATTTAGTAATACGAAATGGTAAACTTGCTATCAATTTAATGTTCACTTACCATCATGCGCTGGGCATCAGGATACAGTGCACCATATTCTGGTAACGATTGAATTGGACCCATACTAAATCCTGACAGTTGCTGACTCGGCAGATAAGAACCGTAAGGAGCATTTAATGGTTCCGTAGCCAACCCTAAATGATGCTGTTGATTTAGATAAGCGGATGTTTGCTCCTGCTTAAAGTACGATGGATTGAAATTTTGGGGTGTAGGTGTCGGAGCAGCAGCATTCACAGGTGTAGCAGACGGAACGTTGCCGGCGGACGACGGCAAAGTATTTTGTACTGATGTGGTTGGAATTGATCGATTTATGGAACTCGTTTGAGACAGTGAAGAAACGGATGATGGCTGAACCTGTGACTGTTGTTGCAACTGTTGTTGAAGTAGTTGTTGCTGTTGTTGCTGTTGAATAGGCGTTGTAGTTTGAAGTGGTTGAGGAGTTGATGTTTCCACTGCTACAGGTGATCGTTCTTCAGTTCTTTGAGTAGGTGCCTCCGTCTCCGCGTTCTCTTCACTGGAATTTGATATGTTCAAACTTCCAAATTGCACGCCAACCCTTTCTAAACCAGCCCCAGCACTTGGCATTACGACAGCTGCATCTTGCTTCAACCTACGAAGGGGGGCTTGCTTAGTTTTATTAATGATACCGGGTGGTGAAATTTCCTTTGAATGTGGTGAAACATTTACAACTGGTGAAGATGTAGTAGGAGTAACTGCTGGTTGTTCTGGAGATGTAATTTCTTTGGATGACCCCTTGATCTCTTCTGATTCCAAAGGTCTTAATGCCCGGGGCAATGACAATATCGCTGCTAATGACTGGAGTGCTGAAAATCAATTTCCAAATTCATGGGGTGATAATTCGGCGGAAAATGCTAAAAGCGGCTGGGATAATGGCTCGGTTACTGATAAAGGTCAGAGTAATTGGACCAACGAGGTTTCTACAGAAAATAATCATAGTGGACGAAATGGAGATAATATTAATAATTCGGGAGGGTTGACAGTTAATAGTAAAAATAAATCCGACAATGTTAATGATAATTTCCTAAGTCGGGAGGCCGACAAATCCACATTTGTTAAAGAAAATAATAACTGGGACACTGAAACTTCCAACAATAGTTGGAATGTTGAAAATAACTGGACATCAGAGACCTCCAAAGATAATCGGGGGACTGATTCTCTCAAAAATGGTAAAACAATTAGGGATGTGCAGAGATCTCCTAATCCTGGAGTACCTAGATCTGTTGTGACTGCAAGATCACCAGTTCCCAATATATCACGGACGATTCCTTCGCAGCCAAAGGCATCTTGGGCTCAAATTGTGAAGTGTGTTTTCAATATTATCATGAAGTAGTATTATATAAGCTCGAGAGAGATTAAAATAATAATAATAATAATAATCAAAAGGAGAGATTAATCAATATTTCATATTTACATATTGTGCATATAGACCTGAGTCGAAACCGGAGCCAAAACCTGAACCCGTCTCACCTCCTATACATAAAAGCTCACCTGAGAACATAAAAGTTGTAT